CACTGGTAAAGCCGTTTAACTCTGTGCCGCTGCTCCTACACCCAGGTTGGCGACTGGCTGATGGCCGTTTAGCATAGTTAGGTTTGGGAGACGTGTTTACATTTCATCAGTCAGTTCAGAAAATACTTTCGACAACCCTCACATAGTTTAGCCGGCAGGTCGATGCCGTTGACTGGGGTGTAGCCGAGGCAGTGCCTATGCGACTTCTTGGAGCCATGTGTATGTTGTAAGCCTGTAGGCCGGTAGAGTTCCGTATCCCAATTAACCCGAGTAAAGCAAGTTTCGACCGCCACCCTGCAAGGGTACTACCACTCATGATACAACCCACAACAGATAAAGGGAAAGAAATAACAAGTTTTCAGCTATTTCTTTACATATTTATTATCATTGGCCATGTATTTTTTGAGAGTGGTAAACAAGAATCTACATGTCGATGATGACGGGGTATTTTATAGTAAAATATATTATTGATATAAAATAATACGGGGCAGGGGCTGCTCCAAAAGTAATGTCACCCATTTATTTCCAAGGAAACTACAACAAATACATGGAGCAAAACAACACCGTTGGATAGAGTAAGTTTTCATTTATATAAGTGTTGTAACCTAGGAAAGGTTACTGAATAGAATAATCACACGAAGGTTGGCAATGAACGATAATACTTAGGACAAGAACAACACATATAAAATTCACCAACGGTGCGTAGATGTAGTCAATTGCTAGAAGTGAGTCAAGTGAATTCCACAATGAATCTCCAACTGCAGGATATCTACCAACCGGCCCACGCGGTCAGATGTGGCTCAAGACCGAATTTAGTGTCGGGTATCCGAGCCCGTAGGCTCGGCCAAAAATTCCCCGTAGACCCGGTATAAAACATGGGTCGGGTAGCTGTTTCCCGAGACGAGACTCTGCCCTTCGACATAGCCTCGTCTGGGGATCCTCTCTGCCCGGAGGCGGAAAGTTTGACAGCACAGCTGGAGACGAATCCCCAACTGCAGACCAAATGATATAAAAGAAAAGAGACGCAGATTAATGGTGTATTGTGTTAGGCTATAAGCGATAAGAAATAGCCAAACACAATATGCCATTAATCTGCGTCTCTTTGCTTTTTATCATTTTCATCATTTCTATCCTGATCTCTGACGAAGCTTTAATAAAGTGAAACATGTTAGAATAATATCTGTTTCCTACTTGTTCGTTAACCTATCATTATGTCAGATATCTATACATACTCGATTTATCTATCTATCTATCTATCTATCTATCTATCTATCTATCTATCTATCTATTACTTGTCAGCTGTCAATATACCACATAACACCCTTGAGCGCTTAGCCTTGCAGCGGGTAGAATAGAGATCAAAGTGTTTTAGTGGACTCAGCAGTTTTCAATCTGCTTGTCTGAATTATCTTCAAGAAGCGAGAGCAAGATCTAAAAGGTCAGCCAATCTAACAGTGATCTCATCTCACAATCCTCACACTTGCTCCATATGTGGCCTCCTTTGTAAATCACTAGCGGGTCTTAAATGCCATTTAAGATTATCGCACAAAATTTCATATCTGAATCAATTAAGCTGTCAGATCCTCATACGTCGAAACCGACGGGAGAGAGTCCATTATATATATATATAATATATGTAGTGTATTTCGAGTCCATTATATATATATATATATATATATATATATATATATATATATATATATATATATATATATATATATATATAGTGTATTTCAAAAGCAATAATTCTCTCAAAGATATTTGCTTAAATAATATGTGTACTAATAGTTTCAAATTTCTAAATTAGGTGTTTTATGTTATCGGTAAATTTACCAAAGTTCATATTTATTTTCATTTCAAATTATTTTCTCCCTGACTTCTCTCGTATGTTTCTCCAATCATTTCCAAGGAATTAGTTGATTTTTTTGTTCTTAATCCGACAATATTTTCATATTAAATTCTGGAAAAGTCTATCCTGATTTCCGACTTTCTAAGCCAATGGTTCCCAACTTTTTTCTAGCTACCACCCACTTTTCTCCCAAGCCATATCCCTAAAGCTCTCCTCCTACTACACCCTTGCAAAAACTCTTTTTTCTTGATATTAGTTTTACTGCCCATTGCAAATGTCATGGCGCAAATTTAATGGCGTTAAACGGAAGTGGGAACGTTATAATTCATCTTTTCTTCTTATTTAAAAAAAAATCCTGCTTTGTCAGTGTGAGAAAAACTATAAATATGAGTTATTTCTGCAAGGGAATCCATATAACAAAAATGTAGCGTGGTTTACATTTTAACGAATGCGGTGTTTGCTTTTTTCTTTCTTCTTCTTCTTCACAAATGGTGAGGGATTCTTACCTGGTGGTTTCTTTTTTCGGCTTTATCCCCTTCAACGACAGATCATTACAATGTTTTTAATTTGAAATGATCACCTGTACTTTAAAAGAACATTTTATTCAATCCTCTTATCCAAGTCCATTTCTCTTTTCCGGTTTTCTCAATTCCTTTTCTCCTCTTAATCATTCAATGTTGCGTTACACATAGGTCCTAATTTTCACAAAATGATAGACACATTGTCTATTTCTTGATATATATATATTTTATCGTTCCACCCCCAAGCAAGGTAATAAAGCCATTAAGACGCAAGGGTTTAATGAACGTGAAAGAGACCGAGAAAAAATTATGGACAACAAAGGACAATAACACGAACAAAATAAAAATACAATGAGACAAAAGATGGCGATTGACATTGAATTTAAATTTTTGAAGATAAAATTTGACTGGAAAGAAAAACTCTGAGGAAAGTTCCACAAGCGAGAAGTGCGAGAGAAGTAACTATTATAATCGAACTCACGCTTACATCTAACAATTGCAACAATAAGATGATGAGACCTAACAGCCAATCTCGTACTACTTTATAGTCGTCAAGTCGAGGTACCAAAGAGGAAAGCTCATCAGAGGTGCAAGATAGATTATGGTGAGAAAATTTTTTTTAGCACGACACAGAGAACTAACTTTCCTAGCAGCATTCTTAGTAGTTGATTTTTGTCTAATCGTTTCACTCCAAGTAAGGCAATAAAGCCACTAAGACGCAAGGGGTTACCGAGAGTGAAATCTTTATTAATGAAAGAGGACGATTAAAGAACAGGATTCAAGGAGACAGATGACGACGATTGACATTGCATTTAAATTTTTGAAGATCAAAGTTGTCTGGAAAGCAAGAAGCCGAAAGAGGGTTCCACAGGTAAGCGCGGGAGAAGAAACTGTTACCATAGAACTTACGGTTACATCTATCCATTTCAACTGTAAAGTAGTGGAACCGTTTTGACAATCTAGTACTGCGCATAAAGTCTATGTATCATAGAGGAAAGTTCATCAGAACAGTTACCATGAAAATATTTATAGAAAAGGCAAAGTGAAGTTATGATAAGGTGATAATAAAGGGACTGAATCCGAGATGCCAGGTGAGGAGCAATAATACTGTAGATTGTTCTTTGGATTTTACCAAGAATTTCTAAATATATAGCAGGAGCACAAGCCTTAAAATGGCAGCAATATTCAAAGCAAGGACGAATGGTAGACTTATAATTATGTAAGATAGATTATGACGAGAAAAATTTTCCTTAAGACGTCTTCGTTGCTTATGCACTCTGCCCATGGTATTCTCAGCATCCTTCTGTAGAACCACATTTCTGCTGAATTAAGTCTTATCTTTATCCTTGAGGAACATGTCCAACATTCACTGCCATATAGTAAGATTAATATTACATAGGAGTATACATCTAGCAATTTCAACTGTGAAATCAGTATAATCTTTCCACGTGTAATGGTTAACAAGCTTATCTCGCTAGAACAATTACGACTGAGTAGTGAGTTTGATCCTCACCGGGTGCTCCATACTTTCGGCCTTGTGCCACATCTAAGCTACGCGTGGAAAATCACAATAATCTTTCCACATGTCAGTGGAAGATTTAAGTAACACTCTCTCTCTCTTTCTCTCTCTCTCCCTCTCTCTCTCTCACTCTATCTCTCTCACTCTCTCTCTCTCTCTCTCTCTCTCTCTTCTGTTATTATTAAGTCTTCCTTTTCTTTTTATTGCCTTTCGATTATGTCGCTTTTTCTTCACCACTTAGTAGATGAATTGTAGGATTCACTTTTCAATTTGTTTTTAATTCATCTTTTTCTTATCATATTGTCTCGATTCTCCTTAAACTATTTGCGGTTTATTTTCAAATTCTTTTTCTCTTTTCTTTCCACACCTTCCCTCTTATTTGTCTCTCCGCCAGTCCAATACTCTTTCCTTTTACTTTCCAATTCTTACTCCCCGAGACAATTCCCTATTCTCTTCCCGCATTTTTCGTTACCGATTCCCTCTTTCCCCTTTCTGTCGTTTCTGCTTATTGGTCAGCCTTTTGCGCATGCTAATTTTCCTACAAGTTGATTGGTTCATCAAAGAAATTTCAGTTGCCTCCCATGAGCCAATAATAATCCCAACTTCAAAGTGAAAAACGCCGCTTACTGAACGTTTTCCGATTAGAGAGAGCGGAAGTTCAGAGTTCAATAAAGACCCAATTGGCGCCATTGGCTTTCGGTTATCTCCTCGGCAGAAACTAACACTCACCAGAACGAGGCTACGTGCGTGCCACCCTCCGGATATGCGTGAGTAAGCTAACTTGCCTGCAAACACCGAGCTAATTGCATCTATAAAAGCGAGAATCTCTCTCTCTCTCTCTCTCTCTCTCTCTCTCTCTCTCTCTCTCTCTCTTCTGCAATAGGGGTGACATTTTTAGTGGTTTATTCATTAGATAAACGTGAGAACATGCAAACGTAATCGGCATTCGACTAATCATTCAACCTGGAATTTAACTGTATCTTGTATTTTGCATATATATATATATATATATATATATATATATATATATATATATATATCAAAGAGAGAGAGAGAATGTGAGTGTACAATACGGCTCAAAACCATATTGGTTATAATAATCGGCACATATATGATTCCACCCATTTTCTCTGTCTGTCTATCTATCTTACTCTCTTTCTTTCTTTCTTTCTCTCTCTCTTTCTCTCTTTCTCTGTCACTGCTTCCTCTCTCACTATTTTCTCTCTTTGCCTTTTCTGTTTATTTCTTCTCTCTCTCTCTCTCTCTCTCTCTCTCTTCATTTTCCTTCTTTTCTCTTTCATCGTCTACGTTTCTCATTTATTTTCTCTCTCTCTTCTGTTTTCTTCCCTCCTTTTTCTTCTCCCCTTTCTCCTGTTTTGTCTTCTTTTCTTCCTCGCTTCTCTCTCTTCATTTTCCTTCTTTTCTCTTTCATCGTCTACGTTTCCACATCATTTATTTTCACTCACGCTATTTCTCTCTTCCTCTGTTTTCTTCCCTCCTTATTTTTCTCTTTCTCTCCCCTTTCTCCTGTTTTGTCTTCTTTTTTCTTCCTCGCTACCCCCCTCTCTTCATTTTTCCTTCTTTTCTCTTTCATCGTCTACGTTTCCCACATCATTTATTTTCCTCACGCTTTCCTCTGTTTTCTTCCCTCCTCTCTTTTCTTCTCTTTCTCTCCCCTTTCTCCTGTTTTGTCTTCTTTTCTTCCTCCTATTTCTCTCTCTCTCTTCTTCATTTTCTTTTCTCTCTTTTCTCTTTCATCGTCTACGTTTCCACATTTATTTTCCTCACGCTATTTCTCTCTTCCTCTGTTTTTCTTCCTCCTTATTCTTTTTCTCTTTCTTCCCCTTTCTCCTGTTTTGTCTTCTTTTCCTCCTCTCTCTCTCTTCATTTTCCTTCTTTTCTCTTTCATCGTCTTTTCTCATTTATTTTCCCCTTTTCTCTCTGTTTTCTTCCCTCCTTACTTTTTTCTTCTCTTTCTCCCCTTTTCTCCTGTTTTGTCTTCCTTCCTCCTTCCCCCCCCTCTCTCTCTCTTCATTTTCCTTCTTTTCTCTTTCATCGTCTACGTTTCCTTTATTTTCTTTTCTCTCTTCCTCTGTTTTCTTCCCTCCTTATCTTTTCTTCTCTTTCTCCCCCTTCTCCTGTTTTGTCTTCTTTTCTTCCTCGCGTTTTTCCACATCATTTATTTTCACTCACGCTATTTCTCTCTTCCTCTGTTTTCTTCCCTCCTTACTCTTTTCTTCTCTTTCTCTCCCCTTTCTCCTGTTTTGTCTTCTTTTCTTCCTCTCTTTTTTCTTTTTTCTTTCATCGTCCCACATCATTTATTTTTTTCTTCTTTCTCTCTTCCTCTGTTTTCTTCCCTCCTTACTCTTTTCTTCTCTTTCTCTCCCCTTTCTCCTGTTTTGTCTTCTTTTCTTCCTCGCTACCCCCTCTCTCTCTCTCTTCATTTTCCTTCTTTTTCTCTTTCATCGTCTACGTTTCCACATCATTTATTTTCACTCACGCTATTTCTCTCTTCCTCTGTTTTCTTCCCTCCTTACTCTTTTCTTCTCTTTCTCTCCCCTTTCTCCTGTTTTGTCTTCTTTTTTCTTCTCCCCCCCCTCTTCTCTCTTCATTTTTCTTTTTTTCTTTTCATCGTCTACGTTTCCACATCATTTATTTTCCTCTCTTCCTCTGTTTTTCCCTCCTCTCTTTTCTTCTCTTTCTCTCCCCTTTCTCCTGTTTTGTCTTCTTTTCTTCCTCCTTACTCTCTTCATTTTCCTTTTTTTCTCTTTCATCGTCTACGTTTCCACATCATTTATTTTTTCACTCACGCTATTTCTCTCTTCCTCTGTTTTCTTCCTCCTCTCTTTTTCTTCTCTTTCTCTTTTTCTCCTGTTTTGTCTTCTTTTTTCTTCCTCATACCCCCTCTCTCTCTCTTCATTTTCCTTCTTTTCTCTTTCATCGTCTACGTTTCATTTTATTTTCTTCTCTCTTCCTCTGTTTTTCTTCCTCCTTATTCTTTTCTTTTTTCTCCCTTTCTCCTGTTTTGTCTTCTTTTCTTCCTTTCTCTCTCTCATTTTTCCTTCTTTTTCTCTCTTCATCGTCTACGTTTTTTTTATTTTCTGTCTTTCTCATTCTCTTCTTTTCCTCTTCATTTTACTCTTTCTTCTCTTTCTCTTTCTCCTTTTTGTCTTCTTTTCTTCCTCTATATCTTCTCTCTCTCTTTCTCTTTTCGTTCCTTTTCTTTTCTCTCTCGCCATTTTTTTTTTTTCTCTTTCCTTTCTGTTTGGTCTTTTCTTTTTCATTCTTTATCTTCCTTTTCGCCCTTCTCCCTCTCTCGCATTTTCTCGACCTTTCTCTCTCACGCTATTTTCTCTTTCTCTGTCTTTCTCATTCTCTTTGTTCATTTTTCTTTCATTCTCTGTCTTTTCTATCTTTTCCTTACTCTATATATTTCCTCATTTCCTGCGTTCCTTTTTCTGTCTCTCCTTATATTTTTCTTTTTCTCTCTTTCTCTGTTTGTCTTTCTTTTCATCTATGTTTCTTTCTCACGTCATTTTCTCTCTTTCTCTTTCTTTCTTACTCTCTTATTTTTGTTTCCGTTTTCTTTTTTCTCTATCTATCTCCCTTTCTTTCTTTCTTTCTTTCTTTCTTTCTTTCTTTCTTTCTTTCTTTCTTTCTCATCTATAAATATAACACCAAGTTCGTATATATATAAAATATGAAAACCTTTTTTGAAAGTGGTATCGATTTTTCATTAAATGCCAATCTATGAGAAACATTTCAATAAATCAAAATAATTGAAGCAATCAATCAAGGTTTCTTTCGATTCGAGGCAGGAAAACCTACAATAATCGGTAATTGGCTTACATGGTAAGAAACAAATCAGAAAAGAAAGAATGACAGAATAGAAGAATAGTTATTATAACCAATTCGTCTAATCGATGTAGCATTAAGACAATTCTAATAATCGATGCTGCAATATAGCACTTATGAAAACAGGAAGCCATGATAATTTCGCTTTGACAAAAGTTGCGTGAGAATGAACAATTTCTGACAGAAATGTCTTTTAATATAATTTATGACACTTCTTTTCATCCGGACACATTCATTCGATTAATCCGTAAATGGTGCTTACTGTATATATATATATATATATATATATATATATATATATATATATATATATATATATATATATATATATATAGAGATAGAGAGAGAGAGAGAGAGAGAGAGAGAGAGAGAAATGGTGCTGGTTTTGTGTGTGTGTGTGTATATATATATATGTGTGTGTGTGTGTGTGTGTGTGTGTGTGTGTATTTAGGCAGCAATCCTTCTTTCATGCACATTTCATTTTCAAGTATTATATTTTAACTGTTAAAATAAGAAATAGTTAAAATATAATCCTTGAAAATGGCTAAATGTATAGCCGAAAGCGATCGAATAAAAAGAACATTCGGACAGTTTTTATATAATTTATCATCCGAAAAGAAAAAAAAATTATTAGATCGCATGAGAAATTGTATAAAAAACTAAATAAGAGCACCTTGTCTGCCGTTTTCAATGAAATGTGCATATATATATATATATATATATATATATATATATATATATATATATATATATATATATATATACTTTTCAACTGACCATCCAACGCTTTATTTAAAAAAAACACAAAGAGACCTACATTATTATTTCAAAAATAAATAAACAAACGTACGACGGTCAAACACATAAGGTTGAGTGTAATAGAAAGGAAGGGGGTATGGAGGAAAAAGAAGGAAAAGAGGAAGGATGAAGAGAATAAGAGAAAAGAAGAAAAAAGCAAGTGTATCGTAAATGTAGAAAGAAAGGAAGTAGAAAATAAAAGCGAATGTAACGTAAATTTAAGCAAGGGTGGGAAAACAAACGTATTGTAAGCATTGTATGTAGATATTATATATATATATATATATATATATATATATATATATATATATATATATATATATATATAATAGAAAAAATCACAAATTACCTCATGATAATAATTATTTTAACTAGCGTTACGCTAGTATTTTTCAACATAAATGTTGCGCAGATACAAAGTTAGAAACTTAAGAATATATTTTTATGTTTTTCTTTTAGAATTTTTTTTTTTTTCGTAATATAAGCTATCTAATTAAGATATATGATTAATCTTTTTTTATCATTTGCTAGAATATTTTTTGTAATTTTTAAATTTTTTGTTTCTTAACTAATAATTTTAATTTATTTTTTTTATTTTTTACCTTGTTTTTATTTATTTTTTTTTAATTTTTAATTTTTCTTGCCATAATTTGATTTCCTTTCGTTTTTTTTTTTATAACTTGAGGTGGTGGAATTAAAATCTGGATCAAGTTTGTGTTCACTCTTTCTATTTAAACCTGACAATATCCGCATCCCCTTACCATTGTACGGGTTTTGTTTGGTTAACTCAATATCTTATTGTTAACCGTTGCGTCTTCTTTTTCTTTTTTTAAATATTAAATTTTTAAGTTCCTAACATTGTATCTTATCTCTACACCATTTGAGATGAACAATACTAGTGTATTAACACTAGTTAAAATATCTATTCTCATGTTGTAATTTTGGATTTCTCTGTAATGTAATTTATATGCTCTGTTATAATAAATACATTGAGCTCTTTTTGTGAATCAGTTTTAATATTTTATATTATTAGGATCCACTTGGATTATATACCAACGGATTATTACCTTTCACTTGCAAAGTGGAGTGCAGGTTCGAATCTTGCCGGAGAGCACATATTTTTCTTTAATAAGATTACACGAATATTTAGGCGTAAATAAATATAGTGTTTAATAAATAAACGGAGCATCTACTCAAATATGGGTATCCACTAAAAATAACGTTTAATTAATAAACTGTCAGATTAATAAATAAATAAAAAAACATCATTTCTTTAGAAATTATAATATATCTTTATAACAATGGCCTTATGTTGATTTGAGAGGGAAAATATATATATATATATATATATATATATATATATATATATATATATATATATATATATATATATATATATAGTGTGTGTGTGTGTTGTGCGCAATCTGTGTTGTCAAATCTGTAACTGTAAAACAGATATCACTGCGCACGCGCATGTGTGTGCATCTCTTATACATGTAGAAGCTTGTGTCTGGACGCATCCTTGTTGGAATATTGTCAATTTAATCTCATTACCAATCAAAATGCAATATTAGATATATATATTTTTTTTAATTCCATGACCCTTTACGACTTTATTGATTATCGCTCTCCACAGTTTCTTTTTAATTTATAAATTGCCGTGACTTATAGTGTATATATTTCCGGTTGTCTTGTCCACGCTTTTGTATTCAAGGATGTTCTTCTAGACTGGCTGCCAGCCATGTCTTGAGAGTCCGGTCTATCTTGCTAGCTTGCCCATAACTAGAGCGAGAAGTGATGGATTCATGCCTACTCCGTGCGATGGAATTACAATAGAACTCGCCTCGCTGATTTTAATTTCCGTGCTGATAACCGTTTCCCTATCGGCACTTTAGGAATCTGAATGCTAAGCAGGATGGAAAACCTTTTCTTTTTTTTTACTTCTTTTTTGACGCCATTTTAATTCGGTGACGCCATTGAGTTCACTTGCTCCTTTCTTCGTCACTTCCATTTAGCGTTCGCTTCGATGGACGCTCCTCGCGCAACGACGACGACCTCGACGTAATTTCAACTGAAGCAATTACAAAGCATTTACAAGGTTTACAAAGCATAACCTCGTCTAACACAGGTCAGCTGTGGGAGATTATTTTGCGCCAAACTTTCTTCTTCTTCTACGTACCCTGTCGCTTCAGGATGTTGGCGATCATGGCTCTCCATAGCTTCCTATCCCGTAACTTAGTAACGTTTGTCTCCTTTCCAAGCCTCACCATCCCGCCATCCATTCACACAAGTTCGCCAGTTAGATGGTACGCAGATTTCTCCTGTATTTTTTCTTCGATATTTCCTATGATTCCCAAATTCTATTATTGCCAAATTCTATGATTGCCAAATTCCATGATTGCCAAATTCTATGACTGACAAATTGTGTCCAGGTAATTTCAAATGTCTTTTTCTGGTTCTAAGTATAGGTGTCTTTTTGTTTCAATTTCCTTGAAGACTTCTTCGTTACTGACTCGTTCCGTCCATGGAATTCTCAACATCCTTCTGTAGACCAAAATTTCTGTTATCTTTTCATCTGTGAGGTGCTTGTCCAGTATCCACTACCATACAAGAGGATTGATAGGTCATACAATTTCAGGACTCTTTTCTTTGTTTTATAAAGTTCGTAGAACTCTCATACTTCTGGTTAACAATAATGTAAGGAAACACTGCACCAAATGGTCGAGTAAAAAACAGGTTTAATTATATGAGAGACATGAATTAATAATACAATAATAAGAAATACCGTAGATCAGTGCGCCAATGCGTATGACTCAATCGCTACGCCTTGCGACCCACTTTACGACGACCGTTCCTATGAGCAGACGTTCTACTCATAGTGGATGGGCGAGTCTATGTTGAACAATTAGTGTAGAGAAGGTCGATCGTATTTCTAAGCTCTTTGTTGCTGACAAAATATTCTTGTATTTTAGCACATTGCATAGCTTTGGAAATCATCTTTTCTTTTATTTCAATTCGCGTTTGGATTTCGGCATCGCATTTTCACCCTCTGTTAAAACACTTCCTAGATATTTAAACTTCTGTATCTGTTCGATTTTGAAAGGTTAATAAATGTCGCAGACACCTGACGAAGAGTTCACTGTACAACGGTCGAAATGTCGTGAGTATAACACCCAAGATAAGCATGCTCCTCCAAATAGCGATGTTTGAAATAGTTTTTTCTTTCCAAGCGGTTCGTGAACTATTTCGGATTTGGAACTTTTTCTCTTGCTGATAATGATGCATTCAGCTGTGAAAAAATAATGTATGGTTGCCTGCGAGAGAACAAGTCCAAGATGCGAACTGCTCCTCAGGTTCCTTAGAAAAAAATAAACACTATTTTAAACCTCCCTATTTGAGCCAGCATGCTTATCTTGGGTTTCGTTTCGACCGTTGTACAGTGAACTCTTCTTCAGGTGTCTGTGGTACTTGTGAGCCGTTTCAGAATTTTGAAAGAAACCTTTATTCAATCCATGGGGTTCAGTTGTTCGCATTCAGCACCCCATGCTTATGGATATATTTCGTATCAGTTATACCTGTCTCTTACCACAGTACTCGACTCAGATCCAGGAGAAATATCACCAGGGGAGTGAAGCGATATTTTAAAGCATATGTGATTTCATGGCAGTCGTGGGTTCACATCTTGGATCGAGTAGTGCGGAAAAGTTACATATTTTGCTTCACAAAAAGAAACAATCAAGCGACACAAAGGTGAATAACGTAGGTGAGCATTAACAGATATGAATTATCTCTCCTAAATTATCTCCCCTAAATATGGGAAGTGGAATGAGAACAATCTACCTTCGTTGAATGAATAAAGGAGTCATTTTGAAATTCTGAGAAAATTGCTAAGTCCGAGAAAAAAAAACACATAAAGAAGACCAGAAAAAAAAAATAAATGACCAATATTTGTCATTCCCAGAACCAAGTCGATGCTTGCAGGCACAGACGTAAACGACCAATATGCCCCTATCCCAGGACTAAGTCGATGCTTGCAGGCACAGA